AACTTAGTCAAAGTTCATTCTGCAGGCAAAGCCATGCTACAAAGACATGCTACATGGCAATGCACACTTGTTTTTACATGGTAAAAACCCATGTCTTGTTCTGTTTTGATCTCTCTTTGAGAGATCTTTGTTTTCTTTACTATTAAACTTACACCATATTTTCTCTCCCACATTCATTATGTTTTTGTGTATTATTGTATATTTTGTCCTGCATTGACCTTGTGTTTGATTTATAACGTTTGAAATTAATTTCTTGATTTGATGTTTCAATTTTTGTTGCTTATGTTTAAGTTTTTCTGTTTCATTTTATTCTTTCCACCATTTTTATACTGTTAATGATTGTACAGCACTGTGAAAGGCACTTTATAAATAAAACTCTACTTACTTACTGTCAACATTAGTTCTCACTCAGTGAAGCTCTTTTCAGATTAAAAATACCTTTTGAGGAAATGTATTTTCAGATGCCAAGTAAACTGCAACATAGCGTACGGGTAAGCATCTTTCCTGACTTTCATTTTTAGCCCCACAGATCATAGGTTTGGACCTTKTTTATAACACTTAACCAGCTTTTTATTTCTTTTAGGTTTTTACTTATTTTGTGTTTTATTACTTTGCCTTTTATTTTGATTTTTAAATTTTCATTAGCCTTTTTTAATTTAGCTGTATTCCTGTAAGCTCTTAGCATTTTGCTTTTTGATAACTTTAAGCTTTTACTTAATGTTTTATTTCAGTTTTAGTTCGTTTTCATTGAGTTTTTAGCTCATGTTTCATTTTCACCTTCTTCACCTTCTTCAGCATTTACACTACATTTTCACAGATAATGCCTTTTCTTCAGCTCCCAGTTTAAAAGACAGGAATGTGTTTTGGCAGTCGAAGGTGAATCCTGTTTCACGCTCTATTGAATCACGTGCAGCGTTTTCCCTCCGGCTTCCTGGATGCTTTACTTCGGGTGTCTGAGCCTGACTCAAAAGGCTGGCTGATGGTGACCTTCAGAGGCCCCACTGCACCGGGGAGGACCACAGTCTGGTCTTCCAACCAATCACAACCAGCAACACTGAAAATACAGCTGATTGCTTTGAGAGGTGAAAACACAACTCTGCTCACCGCAGTTCTCCTGAGACGTACGCTAAAAGCTCCTCCTGTGGCACATTTTACCCTGGCCTACTTCAACTGACAGATGAACGGGTATCTGAATGTAGTGTGTGTAAGTGTGTGTGTGAGAGAGAAAGGGACAATGTAGAGGGGTATATAGATCTCAGGTACAACTTTAAACCCTCCCCGACCCACAGAGCTGTGGACGGGGCCAGTCTTACCAGGCCTATGAGCCATGGACTGACAGCGTCACCCAGTAAATGAGAGGTGAAGCTCTGAAAGGCCACCGCTGTTGCTCTTCGTGTCGGAATAACGACAAACTGCAAAAAGAGAAGAAAAAAAGACAAAGTTGGAATAAGAAACATTTTCCAAAGGGATGAAGAAAAAGAAAATTCAAACATTATCTCTCATCTTTGCCTTTTGGTGACAGGAGGCAACATTTTGCCTTTGTGTGTGTGTTTGTTAGCAAAATATTTCATAACTGTTAACATTCAGCAGAACGCCCGTGGGCCATTTTTTTCATTTTATTTTGTAATTCTGTGTTTCTGTTCATCCTGTATCAGTGTTCAATGCATCAAAATGGCCRTCTAGGCCCTCCTCTTTCGATYGACAYCTCATTTGACCAACTGGGTTCAAGTATCGACTGTCCAGAGCCAATAATATATGAGAAGTGACCAACTTCCTGTTTCCGTCATCCTGGGTTTGATTGACTGTAGATTCGGCCAATCAGCTCCGAGCTTCGTTCTGATGCCACAGCTGTGTAGCCAATCACCGTACCTTTCATTTGGGATGTAGTTTGAGGGGGTGGGAACATTGTTTAGTGACAGCACAAGGTAAAAATGGAGTAGGTCGCCATATTTAGACAGTCCTGCTACTCTACCAAAGACAGCCACGCTAACAGGAAAACATTTTATTTTCCATCATTCTTTGTCCAGTTATCTGATTAAACCTGCTGATAAGATGAAAATATATTTGTTATTAAGTGTTTCGAGTGCTTCAAGAC